TTTCTTATCTTCTATGGTCTTATGGTAATTTAAGTATACAGTTAGTCTTGCATTTTTTTAATTCCAAGTTTTTTTTTTCCCCTGGATAGCATGACTTACACTAGTCTATGGTGCCATGGGATCCAGGTTATCACAGGCACATCATCAATGTGGCTACTAATCTTTATGTGGAAACCATTGATCACTGTCCTGTTACCTGCTGACATCCACACATATTATGTTCTTAGCTGATGCGGAGTTACTGAATAGCAGTCAATCTGCAAATTGGGATTGATCTCATATTCCTTAGCGCATAGGCACTAAAACCAATTAGGGCATACTTCCTTCCAATCCGAGGGAGACTCTTAACGCAAACCAGCAGTGGCTGATGGAAATCTGAAGAAGGGTTCCGACCCGAAACGTCAGCTTTCCTGCTCATCTGTTGCTGCCTGGCCTGCCATGTTCCTCCAGCTCCACACTGTGTCATCTCTGACTCTAGCATCGGCAGTTCTCACTATGATTGGCTGATGTTTACTTTGTTTCTCCGCATTGAACTTTTGGAAGTGAGCTGAATGCTTTTATTTAAAAAAAGTTCACAGCTTTGTTTAAAATTAAGTTAATTGTTTTAGGAATTAAAAAGTACACAGCCTGAAATTGAAGAAACTGAAGAAACTGAGGAAGAAGGTGATGACACGGGCGTCAAAGATGCCCAGGACCTCCTCGACCAAGTTAGAGAAAATATGGAGCAAAATGGGGGTAATCGATGTTTATTTTGCATTTATGTAACCTATCAGTAAAAACAGCTTGGAGTTGCAGAATGTTTTAAATGTTAGCCTAAGTTGCAAGTCCAAATATGGCAAAGTGGGTGAAGTGGATAGCTCCCTCTCATTACATTAAATCAGTTGTTCCTTTTATTGATTCTTTCCCGAATTCCTATTTCATCAATGTTAACTAACACCAAATTGTTGCATTCCAAGAAGGACCAGGAGGATGAAATATTTAATAGCAAGAACGTTATGAAGGAAATGTCCACTCTGTAGATAACAAAGTTGGACTAAGTTGTTCCTCACCCAAAACAGCTGATGATGCCATTACATCACTTGATCACACTCTTAAAGTGACAAACAACCACTCTTACACAAATACACAACATTCCTCTCCATTTTCATCAGAGCTTCTTGCAATGATAACTTTCACAATCTTTACAAGCAATTATATAACAGTCAGTAGGTAAGATTCTCTGGAGGATGTCAATTTATTTGTGGTTGTTGGTGCATTTTTCCCATTGGCTTTAACCTCTGGTGTTATTGGTGTACCAGAAACTCATATGTCATTGCCTACTCCTGGATGACTGCACTACTGGGGAGGGTAGTTTAGGCAGGAAATCTCACAACCTGTAAAATAACATTCAAGGCTATGGGCCTAATACGGGGAAGTGGGACTAGTGTAGGTAGTAGTATATTTTTGGTGGTACAGAATTGATGGGCCTGTTCTGTGCTGTATGATTCTATGACTGAAATCTCGGAGGTTTGCACAATATCACGGTATTCTCCGCTAAGGTAGTGCCTCTCTCGGATACTTCAGTTACTATTCTGTCCTCAGATTTATCCAGGTCTGTATTTGGTAGTCATTCATGGATATTTAATTAATGTTGTCCCTGGCACATTTTCTGGTTGATTTGCTTGTCTTCTTCATAATATATTGAAGTACGCTCTAGAATGGTTTCCTGTACCATACAGATGAGAAGCAATGATGGCTAGTACCCACTCCTCGCCAGAGATGTAATTCCTCACCAACACTTCATGGCCTTTTCAGAAAATGCAGTGTTTGGCCTGTTCTCTGTTTGAGAAATCTGATTCTGTTGTTTCTTGCCTTTTGTCATGGGTGGTTTCAGCAAATCAAATGCATTGCACAACTGATGCTTTACCATGAGTAATGCCAGAGAAGTTTGAGTATAGAGTGGGTTACATTCCAGTATGTTAACAAAATATGGCTCAGCCTTTTTGAAAGTGATCCTAATTCACAAGTTACCCTGAAGGAAAGTTTACTTGTCTGACCATCCCTTTCTGCCAAACCATTTATGACTGGGTGATAAGGAGCTGGTTGGATATGTTTTAGATAGTCTGTACACTCTTGTAATATAAATTGTGGACCATTATTGCTAACACGTTGTTCTGGATACCCAAACCTCACAAATATCTCCCTGAATCTTTCAATGATTTTCTCTGAAGATGGGCCTTCGTGATGGCAACTTCAAGCCATCTCATATGTGTGCCAACCACTATGAAAAAGCCCTTCAAAAGGTCTGACATAGTCAATTCGGTTTCTTTGCCTTTCTGGCCATTCCCATGGGTGTAATGGCACTAAATGGAGGTAGGAACTCTTGCACAAACTGCACATATTTCTGCCTTCTCCTCAATCTCAGAGTCAAGCCCTATCCACCAAAAATAGCTGCTGGCTATCACCTTCAACCTGACAATGCCATGGTGATTTTCATGTAGTTGATTTAACACACATTTCCTTAGTTGTGTGGAATGATGACACTCCTTCCCCATAGGAGACATCTGCTTGTAGAGATAGTTCTAACTTTGGTGTGACATATGATTTCAGTCTGGGCTTTTCCTGTGGTCTTGCCTTAAAGTACCATGTCCTTCACTTTTGATTGAAGTGCATAATTTCTAGTCTACTTCCTCACTTGCACTACTGTTGCCTGAGTGTTCTCTAACTGTTCAATGTTAAAATTGTTAATATAGGACATGATTGCACTAGAGAAGGTGCAGAGGAGATTCACCAGGATATTGCCTAGAATGAAAGGTCTCAGTTATGAGGAGAGACCAGATACACTGGGTTTGTTTTCCTTGGTGCTGTGGAGGCTTAGTAGGATTTTGATTGAGGTATACAAAATTATGAGAGGTTTTGGTAAGCAAACAAGGGCAGGACTTTCACAGTTAATGATAGGGCCCTGGGGAGTGTTGTTGAACAGAGAAACCTGAGGGTTCAGGTACATAGTTCTTGAAAGTGGTGGGACAGGTAGACAGTGTGGTAAGAGGGCCTTTGGTATGCTTATCTTCATTGCTCAGAGCATTGGGTATAGGAGTTGGGATGTCATGTGCAGTATGACTCTATAACTCTATGATTCTATGCATAGTCAGGGTAAACTATGAGGAAATTTTCCCTGTGGCAGACATGTCTAAAACCAGAGAGCATAAATTTAAAGTGAGGTGAATGTTGTCTGAGGAAAAGACTTTTCTAAGGTTTTAGAGTAGATCTGTAGCTCGGGTTGTGGATGTTGTGGTTGGTTGGCTAGCTGAGCTGGTTCATTGGTTTTCCACAGATATTTCAATACCCTGCTGGGTAACATCATCAGTGCAGCCTCCGATGAAGCGCTGTTGTGTTTTCCCACGTGTTATTTAAACTCTGGAGTCCGTTGAGCTGGATTAGCTCATTTCCGGTTTTCCTTCGCAGTGGAGTGTATATGGGGTTGAGCACTGCGAAGGAAAACAGGAAGTGAGGTAATCCAGCTCAACGGACACCAGAGTTTACAAACCAGGCAGGAAAACACAACAGCGCTTCATCAGAGGCTGCACTGATGATGTTACCCAGCAGGGTAATGAAACGTCTGCAGAAAAACAACAAAAAGACTTTTCACCCAGAGGTTTGTAGAAATATGGAATATACTGCCTGAGAGAGTGGCGAAAGCCGATACTCTCGCAACATTTAAAAAGCGTCTGGATGAGTACTTAAAATACCAGGTCATTACAGGTTACGGACCAAACACAGGTGAATGGGATTAGTGTAGTTTGGTGTTTGTTGGCCAAAGAATCTGTTTCTATGCTGCAGGACTCTATGACCCTATAAGGACTGTTTTACATGACTTGGTTGGCGAGGACACTCCAGAGAGAGACAATCAGCATTGCTGCGTAAATTGGATTACCGAGACTTAAATTGTATGTCTGACCTGGTAGCAACAATGCTTGCTTCTGCGTACAGCTCACTACTAGAGAAGGGAGCCTTGTATAAGGCCCAAATATTGTGACCAATGGTCTGTGATCTGTTGGCAGGGTAAATTTCCCAGCCATACAGATATTAATGGAATCGTCTAATGCCAAATATGATTCCAAGAGTTTCTTTCCCTGTCTGTGCATATTTCGTTGCTGCTTTGTTTAACAATCTTGATGAAAAAGCTATTGTCTTCTCTTCATTGTTGGGTAATATGTGAGAAATGACCGTTTCCACCCTGTATGATGATGCATCACAATCTGGTCGTAACAGTAACTTTGGGTCAAAATGCATCAGGACTTTTGACTTTAATGAAGTCTCTTTGGCTTGTGGAAAGGGTCTTTCACGTTGAACTTTCCAACTCCAGTTCTTGTTTTGACATTAAAATAATTGTGCAATGGCTTGAGAATGATGCAAAATTTGTGACAAACCTGTTATAGCAATTTAACAACCACAAAAATGATCATAGTTTACATTTTTAGGTGCTTCAGTAAATATTTGACAGAAGATTTAAAATATTCACAATTGTCTTTCTTCACTCTTAGGCTATAATATTCAAGTCTCTTCAGAAAAGCATCTAAATTGAGGAGATGCTCTTTTTTGTTTCTCCCCATGATGAAAGTATCATCTAGGTCACACTGAACTCCTTTCAATCCACTTAAAATCTGATCCATGGCATGTTGGAAAAATGCAGGTCCAGATGCGTTTCCAATGGAAGTCTCTTGTATTTAAATAGTCCTTTATGCGTTATAATCATCAAGTATTCCTGTGAGTCACAATCTACATTCATCTGGAGATAGGTGTGAGTAATGTTAATTTTACTGACCAGCTGACCTCACTTAGTCTGACAAATAATCATCAATTGAAGGCACAGGATATTACTCAGCACACAATACCTGATTAAAGATGACCTTAAAAGCACCGCAGTTGCATACAGATCCTTCTTTCTTCAACACTAATATGACAGGCATGGCCAAATCAATCATATTTACGGGTTCAAAGACTCCTGCCTTGATCAGTCTCACTAATTCAGCCTCAGCCTTTGGTCTGATTGCATAAGGCAAGGATCTAGCCTTGCAACATTTTGTTTGATTCTCATCCTGGATTTTCAATTTGACAGAAGTCTTTCCCAAGCTTCGCATGATGCGTGGGCCTCAAGGGTCCATGCACAGTGGTGAATTCCAGAAACAAAAGTCAGTGCTTTGATTGGTGTGCCAATGTTGATTGGTGTACATGGAACCTTGGAACAGGTACTCATGAGCAACCTTGCAGCTTAGAGTAAACATATACACTAACCTAAATTAACAAAATTCTACAAATTAAAACTCTCAACCCCTTATAAACTCACCTCTACACACACACAAATAGATAAATATAAACAGGGAAACAAAACAAATGGGCAGAGGGAAAATGGGAAAACAATTCCATATCCTTTGTTCCCGAGATCTGCTGATTTAGTTCTTGCTCATCTGAAGGTTTTTCCTCAACCTTCGTTTTTTTGCAATGCAAAAGGCTGTTTCATTTATGGAATGCCCCTGACTTATCCAATTCAAAGTTACAACTTGCAGCATCTGCTGAAAGAATGATAAACTGGTTTTCTTCAGATTTAAAGTGGCTTACTGCAGAGAACTGAGAGACAGAGAGAGCTTTTGGCTGCTGCAGATCTGTTGATTCTCTTCTGGTCTGGCAAATCTTCTCTCTTTCTCACAGCCCAAGTTGTTCAGCTAACTGACAACCAATTATCTTTGCATTGATAATTTATTCCTAGTCTCTAAAACTATCCCCTTCACTTGTAAACATTCCCTCAGCTCCAATTTGTCTGTATTACTGGAACCCAAAGCTACACAAACAGAGTTCACAATAGGTATCAAATTCTTTACTTTTAAAACATACAGCCATCCTTGTAAATCCCTGGATTGAAACGATTCTTTCTAATTTTAATCCACTTTTTTTAATATAAAAAGGTACAATTTTTACAAGACCTTAAACTAATATGTTGAAATTAAGCTTTTGTAAAATGAGTGGAACTGGATTAAATTTAACAGATGTCATCCAGGATTCCATGGGCTTTGAAAACTTGGCAGTAAATATGCTTATAGAGGCATAGCATCATTACAATACCAACACAGCCCATCAAATCTATGCTGACAATTCAGTCAATCCCATTTTCCCATTCGATCCTTGTAGCCCTTCAAGCAAATTAGTATCACGTGCCCATCCAATTTCCCTTTTATATAATTGATTGTCTGTGCTGCTGCCACCTTTATAGGCAGTGAGTCCCAGGTCAATGTCACTCTCTTGAGTTCTTCCTCAAATTTCACTTGTATCCCTTGGCCAAAAACTGAAACCTGTATTGCCTAGTCTCAGCATCATCAGCTGATGAGACCCGCTTTCCTTTGTCTACTTTATCCAGTTACCCCTAATATCTAGTACACTTCCTGCAAATCTCCCCTCAACCTCCTTTATTTCAAGAAGGTCGACACAGTTTCTCCAATCTAACCTTGTAGCTAAACTCTCTCCCCCCAGTCCATCCTGCTAAGTCTCTATTGATCTCCCTTACAGACCAGAACTGCTTGTCATATGTTAGTTTGGACCTAATCAGGCTTTATAAACGTTCAACATAACTTTCCTGCCTTGTACCCAACATCTCTATTTATGCAATTTAGCATTTGATTTGATTTACTAACTACTCTCTTTTTTTATGATAAATAGTTTTCCCTCTGCATAGTAACTGATGGACTGTTTGGCTACCAACTTTACAGGTCGTCTGGATGATGGATTTGTCCTCAAGTTTGTGAAGGACAAGCTGTCATCGATGCCTTGCCAGAACCAGGGTTTTATTCTCGATGGTTTTCCTAAGACATATCTACAAACCAAGGAACTTTTCAGCGGTAAGCTATAGCACTTTAATACAATTTCATAGTTGAATTGTAGTTAGTGCCAGTGCAGCCTGACACTTATTTTGGGGGAATTGTAACTACGGCTTGTTTTGTGGTGAGGCTTCCCAGGCAGCAGTGCTAACCACCCAGCCACCACACCAACCACCTGTCTATTGTAGAAAAATAAAGGGCAAACAGACCACTAGAAAATAATAATGTGAATCTTGTTGTTAGGTGCAACACATTCCAGATGAAGCTAATGAGCCTGGCTACTGTTTTGCTGTCTGGCCCAGCTTTTAACTATTGAAATAGTTGAGGGAAAATGAAATGAGGTGCACAGAGACAGGGGAAGACAATGGGAGGGACTATTACAGAGAATAGGAGAGAGAAAAAGTGGCAGAATGAATGAAAAACAAACACAAATAACTAGAAAAGAAAGCCATCCAATGGAAAGGATGAAACACAAAGAATTAGAGTCAAAGAGGAATGAGAAACAACAGAGAAACTTGTGCCACAAATTTGAAAATGGTTGTGGTTATCTTGATATGAGATTATGCCGCAAATGTTGCTTCTGTTGGTGGCAATACAGAATCAGTTAAAGCCACTTTGAAGTGCTTAAAGAGAAGTGCATTTTGATTGAAGCAAAGTGAAGCAAGAAGTGAAGACATTCTAAAAGTGAATTTGACTTGGTGACTGCTCAATAATCACAAAATATAACTTCATCATGATAAAGCATAGCCTTGAACATCATGCTATGCAGCAATTAACAGCGAACATGTTCTAAGTTCTTCTGAAGTTGCACTGGAGGCCTTGGTACACGAAGTAGAGAGAAGGAGTGATGTCATCAATCCACTAAGGTTCAGAAGGTTTTCCAGATGAACTTTGCCAAGTTATTTGAACCGGATAGCCCCAGCAGTCAATGCTGGGTGTCAACTCCTGAGGACCTCAATGTAGAAGTCTGTAGAAGAAGAATAGACTGGAAGTCAATTAACATGTCCTCA